GGACCGGTTTGTCATCCTGAGTCGTTTTTTGACGCTCCCGAGGCCCGGTGAGGGCCCCCCGAGGCCGAAAATGGCGAAAAACCTCCCGTCATGATTTTTTCATTGCTCGAGGGGGTCTGGGTCTGGGACCGTGCTTGCTTCAGGACCCGAGGGGGCTCCGGGCCCGGCGGAGGCCCACGTGTCTTGCGCACCGCCGGCGCCGGCGCTGCGGAGCTGGGCGTCGCCCTCGAGCCTGGGCCCCGCAGCGCCGCCGTGATCACGTCGTCGTCCTCCTCGCCCTCGCCCTCGCCCTCGCCGCCGCCCTCGCCCTCGCCCTCGCCCTCGCCGCCGCCGTCGCTGCCGCCGCCGCCGTCGTCGCGCGCGGCGCGCTCTGAGCGCGCTCGCGCCGGCGACTCGGGGGCGGCCCTCTGGGCCCAGAGATCCGATGTCGTGATTTTTTCACTGCGGGGTCCCCGAAAGCCTCGACCCATTCCCCAGGACCGGTTTCTCATCCTGAGTCGTTTTCTGACGGCCCCGAGGCCCGGCGAGGGCCCCTAGGGGCCGAAAATGGCGAAAAACCTCCCGTCGTGATTTTTTCACGACTCGAGGAGGTCTGGGTCGCGCCGGCGACTCGGGGGCGGCCCTCCGGGAGGCAGCGGCTCTCTTGGCCCGGACTGCGGGGCGCGGGGAGCGGCCGCCGGGGGCAGGTGCCGGTGGTGGGGCCCTCCGCGCTCCTCCAGAGGAGGAGGGCAAGGAAGACAGAGAGAGAGAGAGAGGGCGGAGAGGGAGAGAGAGAGAGAGAGAGAGAGAGACCCAGACCCCCTCGAGTAGTGAGAAAATCATGACGGGAGGTTTTTCGCAATTTTCGGCCTCGGGGGGCCCTCACCGGTCCTCGGGAGCGTCAAAAAAACGACTCAGGACGAAGAACCGGTCCCGGGGAAAGGGTCCAGACCGCTGGGGGTCGACGTCATGAAAAATTCATGACGTCGGGGGTCTGGGGAGAGGGCTGAGCCAAGATGGGCGACATGTGGCAACAGGAGGTGGTTGAGACCAGCCATGCGCGACCGTTAGGGTACATAGCAATGGAGACACTTCCCTCTCTCAATCCCCAATACGGGCCAAGCGGATCCCAAGAGGCCCAGATGACGACCGAAGACGGTCCCGAGTCGTCGAACGATCGGTCCGAGACGCCCGAGACGGCCGCCAGACTGCTGAATATGCTTCAAGACGCCCCCAGAGGCGTCCAAAAGCCCGTCCAAGAGGGTCCCAAGAATCAAAACTCCGTAATGTTCCGTCGGTTTTCGAGAGGATTTGGTGTTCTCGCCGTTTCCACTTTCTGAAGCTCCATGACGGCCCGAGAGGCGGTCAAAACCGCCCCAAGACGGCCCAAGAAGCCTCCAAGAGGCCTCATAACGGCCAAACAAAAACTTCAAGACGGCCCAAGACATCTCCAAGACAGCCCAAGACAGCGCGAAGAGGAGGCCCAGACGAGGGACCCGAACGAGCATTTCGAGCACTAGACCCCCAGAAACCCCCAAGAGGCCCCCAAGAGGCGCCCAATAGGCCCCAAGACGCCACCACGAGGCCGCCAGGAAGCCCCAGAAAGATCCCAAGAGGCTCCCCAGACGTCCCCAAAAGGCTCCGAAGAGGCGCCAAAAATGCGCCCAGAGGCTTCCGCGAGCGCTTCGCAGAGATCCCAAAAAGCAGAAACCATACGAAATCCGCAAGGACAACGTACCTCAATGTCCACGATCATCCAAGTGCCCCCTTAGATCGCCTCAAGACGGCCCAGGGAGCCCCCACAAGATGCCGACGACCACCCCCCAGGGCTTCAGGGCAGCCCAGAAGGGCCCCAAAGACATCTCAAGGGATCCAAGAAAGCCCCAAGAGGGCCCCCAGTCGCACCATGATCGCTCCCAGATGCTCAAGACGGCCTCAAGACTGCCAAAGAGGCCCCCAAGAAACTCCCAGAGGGCTCCAAGAGCACCCCCAAAGGGGGCTGCAGGAGGCCAAGATCATGGTCATCCAATGGCTCTGACAGATCGTGGCCTTCTCGCCATTGTTCAAGTTCGAACACTCCAAGGCGGCCCAAGAAGCCCCCAATAGCGCCCCAGGATCGCCCCAAGACGGCAGGAGAGGACCCCCCAAACGGCCCAAGAGACCCCAAGGATGGCCCAAGGGGCACCCCGGAGGGCCTCAAAGGGTGCCCCAACGGGGGAGCACAACGGGCAGTTCGAGCCTTCGCCCCGAGATGGCCACAAGAGCCACCCAGAGGCTCCCGAGACCCCCCCAAGAGACGCCCCCAGAGGCCCCAAGAGGCCCCCAAGACGCCCCAAGACGCCCCAAGAGGCCCCCCAGAAGCCCGAATCCCCCTGCAAGAGTCCCAGGAGAGGCTGCCCAAAAGACCCGTCTGTGCATCCAAGCAGACTCTGAACCACAGCCCAGGCACGTTGGCGGGATGGACCGAAGGCCATTCGACCTGTTTGGTACGTGGCAGCGGAATGCCATACAACAAATAACAACATTGCGAAAATCCATGAATATGACCTCTCTGGGCCTTCTTGGGGCCCTCTTGTGTCGTCCTGGGGCTCGTTTGGGCCGTCTTGGGTGGCTTGGACCGTCTTGGGGCCCCCTCGGGGACCTCTGGGGCCCTCTTTGGGGCCGATCTCATGTAGCCCTTTGGGGGCTCTCTTGGGAACCCTTTGGGACCCTCAGGGGCATCTCTTCGGCCGTCCTGGGGCTCTCTTGGGCCGTCCTGGAGCCCTCTTACGCTGTCCTGGGCCGTCTTGGGGCGTTTTTTTGGGGGGGGCATCTCGTGCCGTCTTGGGGCGACCCTGGGTGTCTCCTGGGCCGTCGTTGACGCTGCTAGGACCAATGAAGCGGATATGCTAAACATGTACGCTTCCTCTGGGAATGGGACGAGTGTTGCCTCTTGGGCGTCATCTTGGAGGCTTCGTGGAGCGTCTTGACGGCCATCTTGGCCGTCTCGAAACCATATTGGACCCTCTCTGGGTGGGCCGTCTTGGGGTCCCCTGTGGGCCTGAATGAAGCAGAGGTATCGTGGGCGCTCTCGGGGCTGTCTTGGGCTGTCTTGGGGCCCTCTTAGGCGCTCTTGGGGCTGACTTATGGTCTCTCTGGGCCTTCTTGGGGGTCCTTTGGGGAATCCTTGGGGCGGTCTTGGGGTCCTCTTGGGACGCCCTGGGGCCCTTTGGGCCGTCCTGGGGAGCTTGGGCCGTCTTGGGGCCCTCTTGAAGGCCCCCCAAAGCCCAAGGAGGCCTCCAAGATGCCCCCAAGAGGCCCCAAAGAGGCCTCCCAGAGGCCCCCCAGGAAGCTCCTAGGAGGCCGCAGAAATGACCCAAGAAGCTCCCACGACATCTCGTCCTCCTCCTCCTCGTCCTCCTGCTCCTCCTCGTCATACTCCTCCTACTCCTCCTACTCCTACTCCTCCCTGTACTCATCCTCCTCTTCCTCCCCCACGTGTTCTCCGAAGGGTTTCCACAACGGTTGGGGAACCAACAGCTCGGCTAAACTTTGCCCAAACGTTTGGCCACATGGGCGCATCCTAAATGGCAGGGGGCGGCGGAGGCGGTGATTCGCCGCAGGCGTCTTCGATAGTGACGCAACGAGCTATCAACCATGCAGGGCGGAGACGGGGCTCGCTTTTTGGCAGGGATCACCTAGCGCACCTATGACTCCTAGCAGTCTTTTGGACACAGCGCGCCCCAGCGAGCGTGAAGATGTGTAGAGCAAGGGGGACGATTGGACGGCTGGCGCTCGCAAGGTGCCTCGAGGAAACATGTGGAGGAGGCGGGGAACTGACAATGAGACACATGAAAGCAACGTCTGTACAAGAAAGCAGTACACATCCGGGTGAAATCGATGTACCCTGCCGATCGGCCAATCTAGAAGAAAAAACCCTCCGAACATTGAAACAGAAGGTGGCCTTGAAGCGGCTGCGGGACTTTGGGCGAGCCAGCATTCAAGCAACGCCAAGCGCCCGAAAAGCTACCAATACAGTCAGAGGCGAAGAGCAGAATTCGTTTGCCGAGTCTCGCCCCGACCAGAGGAACAAGGACGGCGCCGGCCCCGAATGTCAGCCTCTTTGACCAGAACCCTGCGCGGGGGACAGGATCGGAGCTGCGACGAACCGCGAACCCGATCAGACGCGCACGTCTGGCGGGTTTCTAGAGGCCTCCTAGATGGGGTCGGAGTACATGGGGTCGGAGGATCGCGCCGAATCGCCGATACATCGGCGATACATCGTCGATGCATCGGCGATGCATCTGCGATGCACCGGCGATGCATCGTCGACGTCGGCGATGCATCGGCGACGTCGACGTGACGCAAATCGGGCTGCACATCGAGCCGCATCGGCGATGCATCGGCGATGCGGCGCGATCCTCCGACCCCATCTACTCCGACCCCATCTAGGAGGCCTAGAGTTTCGGGCACCCTGGCGGGTTTCGGACGAGAAGGAGGAGGAGGAGGAGTAGGAGGAGGAGGAGAAGGGAGGAGGAGGAGGAGGAGGAGGAGGGAGGAGGAGGAGAGGAGGAGGAGGAGGAGGAGGAGGAGGAGGAGGAGGGGGCACCCTGGATCCCAAAAGGCTGGCCTCTCCCGGGAGGGCACCCTTCGCTTCCGCCGCACCTCCGCGGGCCCTGCGTCCAGGGAGGGGACGCCAATCCCCCGAGCCCCGAGGCCGCGGGGCCCTCTCTCGAGCCAGGAGGAGGAGGGGAGGAGGAGGAGGAAGGAGGAGGAGGAGGAGGAGGAGGAGGCATGAGGGGAGGAGGAGGAGGAGGTCGAGGAGGAGGGATGTCGACTCCGAGCCTCGGAGGCCCTCTCTCGAGCGCCCCGCGTGCCCTCACCGGCTTCAGCCCAGCCCTGGAAGTGCAGGAAGAGGAGGAGGAGGAGGAGGAGGAGGAGGAGGAGGAGGAGGAGGAGGAGAAGGAGGAGGAGGGATGCCCTGGAAGTGCAGCCCCGAGCCTGGCCTCCCGGGGGCAGTCTCCGCCAAAAGCCGCCCCGCGCGGCGCCGCGGGCTCTCGGGGCTGCACGCGCCTGCTGGCCGCGTCCCCCGGGGGGCGCTGCCGCGCCGTCACCGCGGGAAGCTCGCCTCTCCGGGGCCAGGGGGCCAAGGGAACAGCACCCTGACCCAGACATCGGGCGTCTCGAAAAAATCGAGACAGAGGTTTTTCACAGTTTTTGGCCTCTCGGGGCCCTCGCTGGGCCTCGGGACCGTCAGAAAAAACGACTCCGGATGAAAAACCGGTCCCGGGGAAGTGGTCGGGAGGTCGGGGGCCCGCGACTCGAAAAAATCGAGACGTCGGATGTCTGGGGACTCCAGATCCGCCCTTGGCTTTTTTCCCAGCTTAAAACTGCGTCGGAGCTCCACCTGTAAGAAGCCGAACAAGGAGGGCGGAAATTCTTGCACCCAGCATAGAAAATAGGGCGGAAATCCACGGAAGCAGGGCGGAAACAGCAAGAGAAGAGTAGGGCGGAAACTGGCATCAGCGGGGCTCGAAAAGTAAGGCGGAAATTCCAAGCCCCGCTTACGAATTTCCCCAAAGTAGGGCGGATCCGGAGTCAGGGCAAACCATCGGACGAGAACGGGAACGAGAGCGCGACAGACGCAAAGACACGGGAGTTTTGATCGAGGCACAGGAGGAAAGAGACAGGCACAGGGGACGAGCAGCAAGGACGAAAGCCGAGCGAAGGATGGAGACGGAGAGTGATTGATTGAGAATTCGACTGGCGCGTTTGGGCCATCGGCGTAAAAGACGACTGCCCCTCCCCAGACCCGTACACAAACAGGAGTGGCCCCAGGGATTGCAAGGCCAATGTAAGCGGGTTAATCAACCAAGGGTTTGAGAAGAGGCTGCCCGAAGTTCCCCCGACATCGCGCTGCCGCCAATGTACAGCCATGACTACATGTTGGTACAGGTGCGTACAGACTTGTTCCCAACCATCCTGTGGTGTTCGGACCTCGTTTTGCACAGACAGCACCCCGCATCTCACCTCCTCCTCACTCTTCGTCCCCTTCCTCCCCCTTCTCCCTCTCCTCATTCCTCCCATCCCTGCCACTGCCCTCCGCACCATGTCAGCAATTTCGGCACAAACCCTCACACGCTTCGTGGCCCCATAGAGGGCTCCATCCACGGCCCACATGATGCCGCCCGCATGCGTCCCCGCCACTCATTTCGGCACACCCCTCACACGCTTCGTGGCCCCCGCCAGCAGCTCCACCCAATGCCATTCAAATGGTGCCGCCCGCATGCGTCCCCGCCACCAAATTCGGCACACCCCTCACACGCTTCGTAGCCCCATGGGGAGCTCCATCCAAGGCCAAAATGGGGCCGCCCGCTTGCATCCCTGCCACCCATAGCGGCACACCCCTCACACGCAACGTGACCCCATAAGGGGGCCCCACCCAAGGCCCACATGGTGCCGCCCGCATGCGCCCCCGCCACCCATAGCGGCACACCCCTCACACGCTTCGTGACCCTATAAAGAGCCCTTCCAAGGCCTCCCAAATGGTGCCGCCTGCATGCGTCCCCGCCACCCATGTCTGCACATCTGTTAAACGCTTAGTATACCCGTGGGGAGCTCCACCCATGGCCCAAATGGGGCCGCCCGCACGCGTCCCCGCCATTCATTTCGGCACAACCTGACACGCTTCGTGGCCCCATGGTGGGCTCCATCCAAGGCCTACATGGTGCCGCCCGCATAAATACCCGCCCTCCATTTCGACACACCACTCGCACGTTTCGGGTCCCACAGGGAGCACCATCCAAGGCCCAAATCGGGCCGCCCGCATGCGTCCCCGCCACCCACTTCGGCACACCACTCACACGCTTCGTGGCCCCATAAGGGGGCTCCTCACAAGACCCACATGGTGCCGCCCGCATGCGCCCCCGCCACCCATAGCGGCTCCCCCACCCCCCTCGCATTTCGTGGCCCCATACGGAACTCCACCCAAGGCACACATGGTGCCGCCCGCATGATTCCCCGCCACTCATTCTGGCACACCACTCACACGCTTCGTGGCCCCGGATGGAGCTCCACTCAAGGCTCCACGTGGTGCCGTCCGTATGCGTCCCAGGCAGTCATTTCGGCACACCCCTTGCACGTTGTGTGGCCGCACAAAGAGCTTCTCCGAAGGCCCACATGGTGCCTTCCGCAGACCGCAGACGTCCCCGCCACCAATTTCGGCACACCCCTCACACGTTTCGTGTCCCCCACAGACAGCCGACATCCAATTCGGCACACCCCTCACACGCGCCGTGGCCCCAGAAGGAGCTTCATCGAAGGCTTAAGCTGCACCCTTCGCATGCGTCCCCGCCACCCATTTCGGCACACCCCTTAAACGTCTAGTGCCCCCATGGAGAGCTCCACCAAAGGCTCCAACGGCGACGTGTGCATGCGGTGCCCCACCCATGTCGGCACACCCCTCACACGGTTCGTGGCCCCACAGGGAGCTCCACCCAATGTCCCAGTGCCCCCGTTCGTATGTGTCTCCCCCACCCATCCCCTAACATGTTTCCCACGCTGCGTGGCCCCACAGGCAGCTCCACCAAAGGCCTCATGAGGAGATCTACTGAAGGCGGTAGTCACACCGATGGTAGTCACAACTGCATTTTGTTGGGTCCTTCGCCCTGATATGTTGGTTTCTGCTCGGCGTTGCGCTCCCATTCTTCATGACGCGCTCCTGTTGCCTACTGATTCGTTTGGCACGTGATTTGTTCTCGCCCCAACTGTTGTTCAAACGCGCTCCTTCTCCGAACCGTAGATCGCAATGTGGACAGTTTCGGGCGAAGCGGTCCGAACCTGCGGTTACGGCGCACACCGCGACGAGCAGCGTCAAGGGATCACGACAGACTACCATGCGTCAACCAACTGGTCGTGATCTGCACGCGCTCCACGCCATATTCTCATCGACCTATCTAGCGTCAGCAATCACACATACGACGCGGCGCTATGAGCTCATTCCCACGCTTGCTGCGCACACGAGAACGCATGTCATATCATATCGATCGGCAATGCAGTTTCCAACGCGAATCCTACTAAAGCCAGCGCTGGAATCTGCAGTGCAACGATGAATGATTACTCCCCAGCCACAGGTTGGGCTTGTTAGATTCAAATAAACAAAAATAGCCTGGCGAAGAACCCGACCATATGCAATTGTGAGTGCCGCAATTGTGGGTATCGTCTTCCGTGGAGCTCCCTATGGGCCACGAAACGCTGGACTGGGTGGGGGAGACGCATGCGAACTGCGCCACCTGGGACCTTCGGTGGAGCTGTCTATGGGGCCACGAGACGCTGCACTGGGCGGGGGGGACGCATGCGAACTGCGCCACTGGAACCCCCGGTGTGTCTCCCCCTGGGCCACGACGCGCTGTACTGGGCGGGGGGGACCCATGCGAACTGCGCCACCTGGGATCTTCGATGGAGCACTCTATGGGGCCACGAAGCGCTGTACTGGGTGGAGGGGGCGCATGCGGACTGCGCCACTGAGACCTTCGGTGGAGTTCCCTATGGGGCCGCGAAGCGCTATACTGGGTCTGCGCCGCTGGGACCTTCGGTGGATCTCCCCCCAAACCACGACGCGCTGTACTTGGCGGGGGGGACGCATGCGGACTGCGCCGCTGGCACCTTCGGTGGATCTCCCCCCAAACCACGACGCGCTGTACTTGGCGGGAGGGGACGCATGCGGACTGCGCCACTGGGACCTTCGGCGGAGCTCCCTCTGGGGCCACGAAGCGCTGTACAGGGTGGGGGGGACGCATGCGAACTGCGCCACTGGAACCTTCGGTGGAGCTACCTATGAGGCCACGAAACGCTGTACTGGGTGGGGGGACGCATGCGGACTGCGCCACTGGGACCTTCGGCGGAGCTCCCTCTGGGGCCACGAAACGCTGTACTGGGTGGGGGGGACGCATGCGGACTGCGCCACTGGGACCTTCGGTGGAGCTCCCTCTTGGGCCACGAAACGCTGTACAGGGTGGGGGGGGACGCATGCGAACTGCGCCACTGGAACCTTCGGTGGAGCTACCTATGAGGCCACGAAGCTGTACTTGATAGGGGGGACGCATGCGGACTGCGCCACTGGGACAGTCGTTGGAGCTGCCTCTGGAGCCACGAAGCGCTGTACTGGGCGGGGGAGTCGCATGCGAACTGCGGAGGAGGGAGGAGGGAAGAGGGGGAGGAGGAGGACGGAAGGAGAACGCGGGGCGCTGTCTCCTCGAAACGAGGACCCAACACAACAGGATGGTTGGGAGGGAGAGCATCTCCCGACCCGCCTTTCACACCCTGCATACGGCGGCCGCCAGGCCCAAAGTGTGCCAGCGGTCCCTGGGTATCCCGCTTCGTGTCTTCGACGACGGAGAACTGCCTGCCGCGGCCGCCAGGCCCAAAGCGTGCCGGTGCTCCCCGGGCGTCCCGCCTTGCATTCTTGGGTGGGGATCGCTCGAAGCAGAACCGTTTTCACTGTTTGACCGCACTGGCTACTCAGTAGCAGACCATCTGTGCCCACCGGCACCGGCAATCTCCTCCTCCATCTCCATCACCTTCTCCATCTCCTCCTCCTCCTCCTCCTCCTCCTCCTCCTCCTCCTCCTCCTTCTCCTCCTCCTCCTCCTCCTCCTCCTCCTCGACCTCCTCCTCCTCCTCCTCCTCCTCCTCCTCCTCCTCCTCCTCCTCCTCCTCCTCCTCCAGTCCGACGCCGAAGCCGGCGGCGGCGGCGGCAGGCGGCCGAGGCGCCGCAGCAGCGGGCCTTGACCCGGGCAACGCTGCTCCGCGATCCTGGGCGCTGGCGGTGGGCCTCGGTGACGGGGTCGGGCTTCTCCTCCGGGGCTCCGGGGGGAGGGGGGGGGAAGGAGGAGGAGGAGGAGGAGGAGGAGGAGGAGGAGGAGGAGAAGGAGCTGGGGAAGGGGAAGGGGACAGGGGATGAGGAGGAGGGGGAGGGGAGCGCTCGCGTCATATCTGACGTCCTACCCCTCCCTCCCATCCCTTACCATGGCGCTGATTTTCTC